TAGTAAGGCACTTGTTACTAATAGCTTCTTGTTACTACTAGTAAGGCACTTGTTACTAGTAGCGATGCACCTGTTACTAGTAACTAGTAGCTTGCTCTTACTGTCCCTAGTTGATTAAGTAGGCGCCTACTTAATTAGGTAAGCTACCTTACTTAAGCTACTAGCATAGACGCAGAATAGCTCACGCTTCTTCAAGGAAGCTCCCCCCGCCGCCCTAAAAGCGATTTGGTTCCTAGATTTTTAGGGAACCTTAACTTAAGCCCGGGGGGTGAGCATGGAACATCCTTGGGGTGGTCAGCTCACAACGGCAAGGGAGTCCTGTTGTTGAGAGAAGCCAATGCAAAAAGGGCATGCCTCAGAATCAACAGCCCACCAGCTCTAAGAAGGATGGCCTCGCTACTAGGTTGGAAGTCATCGCTACTAGGTTGGAGGCCTCAAAAGAATCAAACTGACCGACTGCTCTAAGAAGGCAAGCCGCTTTTGAGCCGAGTGTGCCTGGCAACTCAGGAACAGAAATTATGCTTGTGAATGTGTACATGTCCATGTCCTTGCTTGCCTCGTTCTGTTGAAGAAAGGACATGCTTAATCTGTAATCTTCTTTTTTTGTCACATAATCGTTTTTCAGTTCACTTCCTTCCATGCTTAACCCTTATCTTTTATTTGTCCGTCCTGTCGCTCTTCAAGGAGCAAAGTCGCATCCAGCTTTGGCCGGGTCGTCGCAGCCGCCCCAGTTGCCGCTTCACAATCTTCCCTGACGCGAGTCAGATCAGCGTCAACAACGAATTATTCCCCGATTCAATATGCTAAACAAACATATGTATATATGTAATATATACATATTCTATATATATATATAGTGTTATAGGTTACAAATGTGTTTGTGTGCCGTTCTTCTTTCATTGGGTGGATAGGAGGGTAATAATGACAGGTAAGTAGTAGCAAGGAAAGCTACTATGCAGTAGAGCGACATGTCGATTGTCAGTCAAGTTAGCCTGTAGACGTTGAATGACCTGTTCTTCAATTTTCTTCCCTTCGTTTCTTCCCTTCTTCCCTTCTCCTTTCTTCCTTTCTGGCACAATGTCCGCCTCAAAAGGGATCTTTGGAAGTCGCGCACTTCCATCACTTCCGTCATGCCGAAATCAAATCCTGCATCCAATCGCCGTTTCCCAATTGCAAATACAGTAATGCAAATTTGGGATCGTCAACTGTTTACTAGGACACCCATAGGCCCTATAGGCTGGATCCATCGCTGGTAAGTTGGAGGCCATCGCTATTTAAAAACAAAGAGAAAAAAAAGGGAAGAAAGGTCTAAAATAGTTTGCTGCTATTTGGTTGGAGGCCATCGCTAGTAGGTTGGAGGCCATCGCTAAAAGAAAAAAGAAAAGGAAGAAAGGTCCATTATAGTTCACTGCTAGGTATGAGGCCATCGCTAATTAGGTTGGAGGCCATCGCTAGTAGGTTGGAGGCCATCGCTAATAGAAACAAAGAAAAAAGAAAAGGAAGAAAGGTCATTCGTATAATTTGCTATTAGGAGGCTTCAGTTCTCTATAGGCCCTAGGCTGGATCCATGCACTCATTGAATGACCGAGCTTTCATTGCAGTCCTTCCAAATAGCATTGCACAAAGGGGGCGGCCAGGCAAGCGCGGCAGTGCTTAAATGCTGTGTCCAGGTCAGTCAATGTGACGTTGTGAAGTGAGCTTCAGGTGCACTATGTTGATCGCTCTCCACCCGGCCCATACAAAACGTGTCTGCCGGATGTAAAGGAATGTGATGGCTGCTGTCTTGACAATGGATCTTAACTTCGCAGCGTTTTGTGCACAAAGTTTTCAGCAGTCGAATTCGAGCGGCCAGTGAAGTGAAGTAGTAACAAGTGCCTTACTAGTAGTAACAAGAAGCTATTAGTAACAATAAGCTAGTAGAAACAAGTGCATCGCTACTAGTAACAAGTGCCTTACTAGTAGTAACAAGAAGCTATTAGGCAACCCGACGATTCAAGAGGCCCCGACACTCATGGGCACTTGCTTTCGTTGACGCTGGTGGTTCATTTTGTCGAAGTTGGGACAAACAGTTTGGCGTCAGATTTCACAGGAGCCTCGGAGTGTAAGCACGGGGAAAACATGCTGCAGGAAGGTGGTGTCATTCAATTTCGCAATGTGGTCGAAGTGAGTAAGCCAGGTGGTCGTCGATGCTGTTCTTTGCATGCCTTACTTGCTTCCTTGCTTGCCTGTTTACTTTCTCTGCTCCCTTGCCTGCTTGCCTCAAAACGCAGGCACGGCAGGAAAACCAGAGAAGAAAGAAGCATGAAGCGAATGCTACATGCAGAGAAGTAAAAAAGCAGAGAGACCTGGAAGAAGAGGCAATACTATGTGACACAGAAAATCCGAAATGCACAAGCAATAAATAAAGGGGTCACCAAAAGCAAGACGAACAGCATAAAAAGCTGAAAGCAAAACAAATCCATTCATAAAGAAGCAGAAACAGAATACAACAAAAGCAACAGGCACGACAAGGAAGGAAAGCAAAAAGCCCAGAAGAACAGGCAACTGGCAGAAACAAAGGCATAAAATGAACAAGAGCCAAAGCAACCAGCGGAAAAGGAATTAAAAACCAGCGAGAATTCCCTCACAAATAAGTATATACAACTGCTGGAAAAAAAAAAAAACAGGATCAGGGTGCAAATTTGGAGGATTTTGTTGTTTGGTCGGTTCGGATGCATTGCATTGCAATCTCGGCTCGAGCAATGTCAACTCTCAAGTGACTCAAAGTGTTCCCACAAAAATGACTGGATGTGATAGCCTGGTCTTCAGTATGATCTCGAAATATCCCTGTCTCATCTTGCTGCTAGCCAGTATCTTTCCGGCCAAATAAAAACAGGTGATTGACATTCATCCGCTTTTGGATGTGGTTTGTTGGCCTTTGCAAGTAGGGGACTTGACTCTACTCTTGACTTCCTGCCTGGCATTAAGATCACAAAAAAAGGTTGCTGTGCATAACTGACCAAAAGTCCCATCAATGCAATTCTGGCCTCGACTTTTCTTGCATCCGTTGATGCCAAAGTTAGTCCTACAGACTCACAAGTGATGTCGACACCACGACCCCTAGTAGGAGCCCCTAGTAGCGTCCTTGCTCCTAGTAGTACGGCCAGGAGCTACTAGTTGCGTCCTTGCTCCTAGTAGCGATGCCAGGAGCCCCTAGTAGCTTCTTGCTCCTAGTAGTAAGGACAGAACGACTAAAACCGAAAACAAGTTTGGCTCCTGATCGATTGTACACAGGATCCATGAACTCATTCGCAACAATTGCTCCAGCCGCTGCACCTGAGACAGGGGCGAAGCAGAAAGTCTACGTGATGTAATTTGATGTCGACTTTCTGCCTGCAGTGGCTAACTTGGAGATGATTTGCCTATCGCGGCCCTTGCAAGAGATCAGACAAGCAATTTCAAACGACTCTCTTCAACCCTCAACAGTCGATGGTCCAAAGCTCGGGGCCTCTGACACATAGACCTGACATCTGCGAGAACAAACAAAAACTGCAAGACAGGACGTCAAAAACTGCAAACAAGGCACATGCGCTGCCAAAGCTCGGCGGGCACCAGCTATGACCATTTCATGAAGAATAAGTCAAATGAGTCAAACTCAACGGCCAGCATGCTTCCCTGGGCACCTGCCCATTGCCGCGGGTTTTTAGCTGCCAATTTAGGCATGATCCCATCGTAGGGCTTCAATCTCCTTGATCACTCCAGATCACGACTCCTCTGATTTGCACATGATAAAACTAGAAACGCATGTGCTGTGTGACTTCCTCACATATGTGGCAGCCTTTGGGCAATCTGCAGCTGAGCAAGGAGCAGATGAGAAGATGCGCTTGGCCCAACGATCCTAATAGCTTCTTGTTCCTAGTAGTAAGGCCAGGAGCCCCTAGTAGCGAACCTTGCTCCTAGTAGCGATGCCCTTTGCTCCTAGT